TCTATAGGTTTGAAGCATTATAACAGAAAATTAACTATATATGGTGTGATATTAGAGTTGTAACACAGATGTCAAAATGCAAGGAGGTGTTGTCATGATCTGGCTGAGCACATTCCCAGTGCAAATGCCATCAAAGTCACTGTGCTCCTTAAAAACATTTCAAGACAGCAGCATTTACCAGTGAAAAAATGCCCAAGAAGTGTTCAACCCTTCCTCCTGGGCCTGTCAGAAGTGTCACATGTGTGGCTGTGCTCCTACTGTGCTCCCAGGTGGGCCTGGAGAGCTGTGGGGGATAATTTCTATCCAGTACAGCAGCTGGATAATTTGTTTGGTATTAAATCTGGGGGGATTCAATGTTGGGGACAGGGAGAGGCTGAGACTGAGGCCAGACTCAGACCTGGGTGCAGCTACTTGGTCAAACAGGACTTGGTTGGGAGTTACCTATGGGTAGCATTTACATTTGAATAGTAAGAAATTCCCTGTTAGCCTTTTTCTGGGTGAACTAATTCAAAAACTTCCTTCTTAACGTCCCTTGGAGTGGAGGGGGGGGGGAGATGTCCCAGCCTGCTGTGGAACTAGGCTTTGGGGCACTTTCAGACACCTCAAGGTTTTTCTGCAGCCCCCCTGCTCTTGGGGGGTAACCACTGGGGGGCAGGGGGGCAGAGGGATGGGAATGGGGAGCCCTGCCCTGAGACCCCCAGGGCCATCTGTGTTGGGCTGTTCATGGCAGGATCAGCACTTCCAAATTTAAACACCTCCATGTGTGAGCTGGACTTGGCTGGGGTAGGGTCTGTGCCATCTCTTACCATAAAACTCTTTGCTGACTTTGGTTTTAAGGTCTTGTGCTAATCTTGGTTTATATCCCACTCCTCTCTGCTCCTCTGTTTTCTTACAGCAGCCATCCACTGCATGGAGATTTCCCATTCCTTCCTTGCAGTATGTTTGTTGGGAAGGAGGGAGAAAAGGGGAAAACGGGGTGGCTGATGGTTTGTGTGTCAATTATACATCAGAGGCTTTGCTGCTGCTTCAGAAGCTTCTAATAATAATAATTATAATTAGGGCACTGGGAGAGAAATGTGCTGAGATCAGGGAGGAAAGCAGGAAAGCCAGGCCAGAATTAATTAGCCACTTTTATCTAAGAATCTCAGAGCATTTAGACATTAATTAATGAATTCGATGGTTAAGTGAGCACTATGCTCGGTTTGTGCCAGAGTCGTGGCCAGGCTCAGGCTCAACACCTCTCCTTGCCCAGCCCTGGGTCCTGCAGGGTGAATGCTGCTGCAGGTGCTTTCCTCTCACTGCTAAACACAGAGAAATAGTTCTCTTTTTCCTTTTGGTTCTGTCTGTCACTCTGAAAGCACTCAAATCTGGGGTGAGGAGATCCGTCCTGGGTAGATATACACTGTTGGGAGCTGTGCAAATCCCCCAGCCCAGGAGATGCACATCCCCTGCACACTGAACACTGATGGCTTCCCATAGAGAACAAATGTCTTCTGCTGACCCAGACCCAAACTCAGTGAAATCTCCCACCTGTGGCACTGAGATTATTCCTGGGGCTCCAGCAAAACTGTTTATTTCATGGCAAAATGATGCCCAAAGGAAAAAATTCACCCTGGCAGCGGTTTTCCTCTAATCAAAAGGCTCCTGCTGGGCAGTGTGAGAGAGTGGCCCAGTGTGGGGAGTTTGTGGTTAATAAAAAGAAACCTGTTTTCCTCTGCCCCGTGGTTTTCTCAGAGTGGAGGAGCAGTTCAGGGTGCAGAAGGAGCTCCCTGGCTGGAGCTCTCCCTGCGGCACCAGCAGCTTAGCTGGGCTTTCACATTTCCCAGTGGTCCAGAGATCTTTCTGTTCCATGAGCCCCTTCCCCAACAGCTGGCCCAGGCCAACTCACTGAGCACTGGAGCCAGGGGAGGCCTCTGCCCAGGGAGCATCTCCAAACCCTGTGGCTGTTCCCAGTACCACATCTCGCCTGGGTTCTGCAGTTCTGCCTCATGAATAGATGAGTTTCTGCCTCCCGGCTCACCTGTGGTATGCCCAGAGTTGGTGAATATTCATTAACTGAAATTAGCATCTATTAGGTCTTAATTGACTTACAAAAGCCTTGTTTTGTGATAATGAAGTTTATACTGTAGTTTTGCCTGATGGCAGCTGGTGGGTCCCAGCCCAAGCCACCAACCCTGAGCTGGGTCTGGCCAGGACACCACGGGTGGCTGAATCCCTTCTTCCCCACAGCCCATGGAAGCAGTGGCTGCCCCGTCCCTGGAAGCGTTCAAGGCCAGGTTGAAGCAACCTGGTATAGTGGAAGGTATCCCTGCCCAGAGCAGGAGGTTGGAATGAGATGAGCTTTAAGGTCCCTTCCAACCCAAATAATTCTGGGATTGTATGACAGCCATGAAGTTACAGCTGGGAGAAGCATGTCTGTCACCTGAGCATGTGCTGAACATGAGGGCAGACTTACAGACTTTCACTGGATGATCATAGCAATGTCCTGTGCCACTGCAGGGGCGGATGTTCAGGGGTTGATGATCAATTTGGGCTGTTTGGGCATTTAAGGCATGTTTTGGACCTCTATTCCTTGGCTGAGTGAGTGCAGCCCTTTGGGTTTCGTGGGCTGTCCCTCTGCTGGGGGATGTAGATGTGGTTTGGCTGAGTGTCCCTATGAATTGACTTGGAAGCTGTTAGGAGGGCTACGAGAAGTGCCACGCTCAGAGCTGGTGGTGGGAGGTGGGAGGAGGTTACACGGCGCTAATGGGAACTGACCTGAGCAATAACCTTCTCCCTCTCAGCTCATTTTTCACTGTTTCTCAGACTTCATTCGGTTTGGTGTGAGGGGTCAGAAGCGAGGGCAGCAGGAACAAGTCACTCTGGTGTTGGGGCAGGCAAGCATCCCCCACGCTGCTGCCACGAGCTTGGTCCTGCTGTCCACCAGGAAGGAGGGAGACGGTGTCCAGAGGGAAAACATGTTGGGAAAGAGCTGGTGGCAGCACTGCTGCTTGTCAAATGTGTTTCCTCTGTTAGGATTCACTGTTGTCCTTAAATGCACAGAGGCGGCATGGGGAAAATCACTGATTTACAGGTGAGAAGAGCAAAAGTGCTCACGGGGGGTGAGCAGGAACTGCTGGGATGGAGACTTTCCCTTCCCACACCAACCTGCTCCCCAGGGCTGGCCACAAAAACGCTCACTGCTTCCACCTGATTGATTTTGCCTTCCAAGCAGTGGTGGCTGCTCGCTGGAATCACTCGCTCTGTGTTTGGGAAGGGCAGAGCTCCAGAGCCAGCCCTCGCAGGGAGTAGCCATCAGAAAAACCCTCACGGAGCTGGAATGTCAGCTGCAATAAGGAGCTGGAATCCACACAGCTCCTGGAAGTATTCTCAGAGCACACGTGATCAGGGTTTTACACGGGCTCAGTACATGGTGCCTTTGTCCAAGCCCAGCAAATGATAAAAATCTTCAATTTAGCCATTATTGACTGTTTTAAGACAAGATACAGGACAGAATTGAAGCGAGTCTGTAAATTAGATGTAGCCCCACAGCTCACAGACTGAGAGACTCCTTCATCATTGACAAGGAAGAGGAAGGAGGAGATGAGGAGGCTTGGTGACTTTGTTTTTCTGCCTGTTCCTGTAAATTACGTGCTTTGTGTTCTCAGTTGAGAAAAGATGGAGACACAGAAGAACAGGGCAGTGACTGTCAGTGGCTTTGTAACCACCATGAGCTCACAGGGCCCTTACTCCAGGCTCTAATCCTTGGGCTCAGGAGCTGCAAATTGGCAGTTTTATTTTTCCTTTTTCCCCCCCATTTTTTGATGAGGGTCTGTGTCTGGAATGGTGACACCAAACTATCCCCTCAGCCCGTGGTGTGAGGAGGTTTCCCTGTTGACCTCACCTCCCGCTGCTCCACTGGAGCTCTGACAGGGCTGTGACCCTGGCACTGTGTGTCACCTGGCACTGCTGCAAACCCCGGGGCAGTGTTGTGGCTCTGACCAGGCCATCCTGTCCCCTGCTCCTTGTCCCGCTGTAAGAGACCCCTCAACCCTGGGATGTGACTCTGGGCATGGGGCTGCAGTGGGACGCTGGGTCACGGATGAGACCAGGGGCTGCAGTGCTGCTCTGATGTTGCAAAGCTTAACGATGCTTCTCTTGGTCTGGATGATGTTACTACTCTGCATGAGCTGGGAATGGTAATTCCATTTTAGTGCGAAGATGGATGCTTCCAAATGACATTTATCTCCATGATGACTGCAGTGTGGTCAGGGAGCAGTTGTTAGCAGTGCCAGCTCTCCCCTTTGTCACGGATTACTGCGGCTGGGCAGGATTCCAGCTGAAAAACAAAAATTCCATCCCTGCGCCGCATGAATCAGGAAATAGTTACTGTCCTGGGGTTCTGTCACCGAGGTCATGCAAATGAGGACTGTTTCCTCAAAGCCTCTGGTTTCTGTGTGACCAAGCCCTCGTGTGTGGGGAGACTGGTCTGGGGGAGATGGGACATCCACAGCATTGAGTTTGGGGAGGGGAAGGGGATGCTGGGGAGTGATGCTCACCAGGACAGAGGCTGGCGATGCTGGCTGCACCATCTGGCATCCCCAGCTGGCTCAGCTATTGAACTTCAGAGAAGAAATGGTGTCTGGAGAAATTGGGTGCTCCGGCCGTGGTCCCTCACTCAGGTTAAACATGAATCCTTGAGTGGAGGTTTCTCACTGAGGATCTCGGAAAATTTGCAGACCCACATTGGATATCGCAGGGACCTGAGCAGCACATGCCAGTGGGATGGATGGAGGAGTTCCAGGGTTAATAGGAATCAGCTCCTGATTGCGACTGGGTGGAGGGTTTGCTGGCAGTTTGTGGTGACGTTCAGGGAAGTTCCCTGCAAAGGTTCCTGTGGCACTGGCTGCCTGTGTCCATCCCGGCCACCGCAGTCCCAGCAGGGCTGAGCAGCCTGTCCTGAGTGTGGGTGGGGGTCTGGAGCTGTTGGTCACCCCAGGCACTCTCTGTTCCTCCTGCAGGTGAGCCCTCCCGGTGGTCCTCGTCCCACTGCGACTGCTGCTGCAAGAACGGCAAAGGCGACAAGGAGGGCGAGAGTGGCACCTCCTGCAACGAGCTGTCGACGTCCAGCTGCGACAGCCAGTCGGAGGCCAGCTCCCCCCAGGAGACCGTCATCTGCGGCCCCGTCACCCGCCAGACCAACATACAGACTCTGGACCGGCCAGCCAAGAAGGGCCCTGTGCAGATGCTGCAGCAGTCCGAGATCCGCAGGAAGAGCGACCTGCTCCGGACTCTCACCTCCGGCTCCCGGGAGTCCAACTCCAGCAAGAAAAAAGCAGTGAAGGAGAAGCTCTCCATTGAGGAGGAGCTGGAAAAATGTATCCAGGATTTCCTCAAAATCAAAATCCCAGACCGGTTTCCCGAGAGGAAACACCCCTGGCAATCTGAACTGCTGCGGAAGTACCACCTTTAGGCTCAGGGTGGGGAGAGCACACGACCTTGTTACATTAGAGACAAATCCTAAGTGATACAAAAATAATTCCCAATAATAATTATTTGTTAGGTCACCAAAACCAAAATCCATCTCTAGTACTGCCTAATTTGCCTATTTCACTTTAACATTTCTAGTCGTAGGGTAACAATATTTTTTGCAGTCCTGGAAGCACAATGACAAACGCTTTCGTTTGTAAACTTGGAGTCTTACACAAGCTGAAAACCTTAAGGGCACAACCAGACCCATGCCAAGGGATGGTTGCATGCAGCTGCCAGTGCCGTGGGAGCGTGGCCTGGGAACAGGCAGGTCAGGGGGATGTGAGCTCCGTGCCCTCTGTGTCCTCCTCGGAGCACATCTGTTTGGAGGGAGGTGCACAGTGCAAAGCCCCAAGCTCTGCCGTGGCAGTTTAAGCATGTGTATATATATATATGTGCATATATATATGTGTGTATATATATCTCTGTGTGTATATATATATGTATATATATATATCTATATATATATATCAATATATATTGCTTAAAGATTTTCTGGCTCTCTCCTCATAACTGCACTTTCTCAGAAAAGAGCATTTTTTAGCCGTCTGTGGATGTTCGGTTTCTTCTCCAGGTCTTTGAGGGCTGAACAGTAGAAGTCCATCTCACTGTCTCTCCCCTGCTTCCTCTCCCTGTCCTTACCCCTGCTCTGAGACACTGTAAATGCGTTTCAGTGGAGACCAGGGTGCAGTCTGTGGTTCTTCGTTACCATCAGCAAATACTCCCATTTGTTTTGGATGATCTTGTCCCTCTGTGTCCTCCCCACACCTCTTGTGTTCCTCAAGGCTCCCCAGTGTCAGTGGGTTAAAGGTGTGCTGATCCCAGCTGGAAAGCTGTAGGGCTGGTTCCACGGCTGTGTGTGGAGTGGCTGTGCTGGTTCTTGTGGATGCCAGGCACGAGTGCCAGGAGTGTCTATCCCAGCTGGCAGGGACAGAGGGCACTGTATCCCATCCGGCACGGAAGCACCCACAGAAATCACCCACCCAACCGGCCCAGTGGTGCTCTGTGTGTGGGGATCCATTGTTGGAGGAGGGAGTAGGTGTGTGCCAAGAGAAAGTACAACCCCAGAAGGTACCTGCATTCCATCCCACAGATCCCATGGTGGGACAGCCAGCAAACTGCACCATGTGTGCCATGGGAAAGGCTGGTCCTGCACTGACCCACGGGGTGTGGGAGCGAGGGGAAAGGGAGCAGGTGGGTCTGTGGGGTGCAGAAGTGCCAAGGCCAGGTAAGGCCTGAGCATGGCAGCACAGACTGGAGAGTGTCGGGGGGTTGGCAGGTGGCAAAGGCATGGGATCAGCCAAACCTGGAACAGGGGAGCGCTGGGGGGGCTCAGCTCTGGGGGCTCAGGCTGCCAGGGAGGGAAGCCATGGACAGTGATGGAAAACTTAATTGCTCCAGCTAGCCTGTGTTGGCCATATCTGGGAACAACCTAGCTGGAGGATTTGGGATAAATTTTTCATTTTCTAAAGGCACAGAAAGAAGATTTTATATATATAGAAAAACTACAGACAGTGACATTGCTGGTAGCACAGAGCACTTGGATTTTGACTTATTTAGCATCCTGCAGGTTTGAGGGCTTCCCACCTACTAAATTCCAGAGGTTGCTGTGGGAGATGCTGTCCCATCTGCACTGGTTCTCTCTGTGATCCTCATGCAGTTCCAGCAAGATGGAAACTTGGTTCCTGTGGGGTTCCATCATGCCCAGCTGGGACAGAGGGGTTTGGCAGAGAACTGCGAGGTCTTTACAAACACACAGGTGTGTTTTGGTGAGGATGCACATTTTACCAGCAAAAATAGGAAGCAATACTTGTCCAGAGGGATCCATAAGCATGAGCTGGCTGTAGGGAGGGGGAAACCCTCCCAGCAATACATCTCCAGGTTGTTGGAGAACAGGGCTTGGATGTGGCAGCTGGTCATCACCTCTGTGGAGATTGTACATGGAGAAGGTGCCATTCCTTACAGCTGGCATGCCGTGTTGGTACCAAGGATTGGGAATTAGAGGCTCTGGGCTGGGAAATGCTCAGTGAGGAAACAGAGCTTCCCAGAATTGTGCTTTAGAATGAGTTCAGGTTTTAGGACATTCCCTCATGCTGGAGTTCAGGCCTGGCTGTTGTGCCTCCTTCCACTTGCAGGCTCAAAAGGCACATTTTCCTACAGAAACCAATGTTTTGCACAAGATCCACAATTTGGCCCTGCTTAGTTATGTTGTGGTTAGTTTATAACATTTTTCTTTTCCTGCTCAACATTTTCCACACCTTGCCCTCCTGCTCTGGCACCAAGCAAGAAAAAATGGGGAACAGCTAGGGCTCTCCTCAGGATTTCCAGCAGAGAATGAGGTTGGAAACAGGTCACCCTTGTTCCTCGGCAGCAGACTGGAGCTAAAACCTTGTCCTTTCAATCCCGATCTTTCCAAGTCTCTCTTTAATATGACAAATATTTGGGCTATAAAATGCATGTGCCAGAGTGGAAGAACAGGCATTGGATGTGTGTGTGTGTGTTCTCAGGCTGATGTTCCGGGGACACAGGATTGCTCAATGATTAATAACTGTGGAAAAATTAGACCAAATGAAATGTGCCTGAGTGGGCTTGATTTATGTGGCCTTCATGTCTGCAGTTTGAGATGAAATGGTTATTACTCTCCAGTGCTACAGAAATAAAGGTCTTAAACTTCAGTAATCACAGGCAGGCCAAACCTGCTGGGAAACCCAGTTTGAGATGGGGCTGGAGGAGGGCAGTGCCCAGACATGGGGCTCGTGTGTGTTCATGTGTGTTCTGCTGTGTAACTAAAGGGATCTTGTTCTGGTCTGACTGCATGTATGGTTGTTTTATGAGTGGCTTGTGTAGAACTGTGGCTGTGCTGCCAGGTTTTGTGCTGCTCACAGTGGCTGGTGGGGTGTAGGTGTAACACAGGAGCCTGGGTGGTGGTGGGGGGCTGTCACTCCTCCCCAACAGAGTCAGAGCTGTGTGGATGCTGCCCAGAGCTCCCCTTCTCTCCATCCTCACTCACTGCTCTCTCTACACCACCACTGTTCCATGGCACACCCTCAAAAAGCCACGTTTGGGGCACCTCATTCTGCCACCACTGGGCAGGGGCAGGGGATGGGAGCATCCAGCAATGGTGTGGAAAAACCGTGGACAGGTAGAGACAGGGACCAGGGGAATTAAAAATGCTGCTCCATGGTGGCCCCATAGTTCAGCTGTGTGTGGCAGTGGGTCGGGAAAGAGCAATCAAACCTTCTGCAGGCACCAGGATGGTGGCAGGAGGGTGACAGTAACTCTGGAAGACCTATTCCTAAAAATAGTACCATGGACATATAGAGACACAAAACTATATAGACTTCCATATGGTTGGATAGATATAATCACACTCCTAGGGATGAAAGGCAGGTGCCAATGCCTTCTTGGAAAGGTTGTTCCCCATCCCTTATGGGGTGGGCACCTCTCACTGTTCCCAGGAACAGGAAATCCCTGCAATAGGTGGGTGTCAAAGTGGTACCTCAAAGCCTATGGCCAACAGGAGGAGGGGAACGCGGCCCATGCTCAGTGTGCCCAGAACCTTCCTCCTACCAGGGCTTTTCCCTGAGGCTATTCAGGGAAATGGGGCCATGAAGGGAAGAATGGAGATGAGGTATTTCAGAGGAGAAAAGGAAACTGGAATGAGATTGCCAGAAAGGCAGATGGGTTTTGGGCTCTAAAGTATATTGTACTCAATTCCACTTTGTTTCAGTGAGAGAACCCATGTCTCTCCCTAGGACAGTTTTGGTAGCAATCCAAAATTAAACTCAGTCCACAGAGTACTTTATTCTTTCTAAAATATCTGGGGGGCAAACTGGACTTTGAGCTGCTTTCCACACATAACGAAGACCAAATATAAGTTCTGTTGAAACTAACTGAAAAACTTACATTGACTTCAGTGGGACTGAGGCTCCCCTAAAACACCTTTTCTCAAGAAAAATGGGCACTTGCCCCAGTGAGGATGAGTAAGAACATACACATCCATGTACATTGCTTGTGTGGCACAGGTCCAGTCACTTGGGGATGGTGTAGCACAGCCAGTCTGTAAATATCATGGCCTGGTCTATATAGTCTTACTTAAGCTTAGCTTAGGGTGCTGGGGAGGGAACGTGGTGAGCAACCCCTGCCCCTATGGGCCGTGGGGTCGGTGACACAGCTCCTGTCACAGCCACCCACATCCCACCTGCCCCAGTGCCCATGACAACTTCCACCTCTCATGGGCAGAATTCCCAGTTCCCAAGGGTTTTGTTATGTGCCCAAACACCTTGAGACACCTGAGCAGGACTCAGAGCATCAGGGGGAGACGCAGGGAGAATGTGTCAGTTTACACAGACCCACGGGGACCAAATTATTTTACCATCTGCACACACTGTCCAGAGGCTTCACAGTGCTCTGGAGAACATTTTGATGTTTTAATTCTAGTTTGGTGAGTCCATTTATTAATTTCATTTTCAAATTGTGGGCTGAAGAAGAAGACAAGGTTGGGCTATATTGGCAATGGCCATCATGTAACCAAGCCCTTCAGCTGTGTCCCAATCTGTTCTCCCAGCCCTAGGAAGGCTGGAGGAAACTTTCCAGCTTCTTACCCTTCCCAAAGCCCTTCCTGCCACGGCGAGTATGGACTTTCAGAGTACTTTATGCATAAGGCCCCATGTGTATCATGGTACAAAATAATTGTCCAGTCTTATGGATAGTTTATGCCCCAACGGGGTTTTGTAGATTAATAGTAAAAGGACAGAAAAAAAAATAAAAAGCACTTTTAAATTATTTATATTATAAAAAGACATTCTTTATTTTTCTTGGCATCGATGTCACTTAGCTAAAAAATCTGTTTATAAATAGGATATTGCAGATTTTAAACTATAGCAATGCTAAAGCAAACACAAAAAAGCAGAATTCAGAGTTACACAGACAAAACTTACTGAGGTGAAGCAGGAGGGTGGCAGGGCCCAGCTGGCTGAACGGGTGGGCGTTGGAGTTGAGGGGGATGATGTCCTCCCTGGGGCCCCTTTGTGGTCCCCTCTGGCCATCCCCCGCCCCAGGGAGGTGGTAGGACCAGTTCCCTCCCAGTCATTTGGGGTTGTACAGAAGAGCAGGTGCTGCCAGTGCAATATTGTCCCAGCCAACACGGGGTGTAGAGGGGGTTTGGTGATGTTGTGATCTCTCGGGGCCTTGCTTACGTTACATTTTCGGACCTCATACAGCACTTAATGACTTCGCTGAGGCTGAGTCAGTCTGTTGCACATTGATGTAGATTAAGTGGCACCCACTGAATTACCTCTCAACTTTCCAACGTGGTTCACTTGTACATAAGTGTAATGTCAAACTGTTTACAGGTTCTTTTGTGCGTAATTGTGGAAAAAAAAAAAGTTTTAACTACAAATTTAAAGGAATCGATTTTACTGGAAGGTGTTTAAAAAAATGAATGTGCTTAATACAGTATAGACATCCTTGCTAATGGTCTCACCTGAATGCATGTATCCGTGTTGTCAGTCCCCACCAGTGAGGTTATTGGCAATATTCTGCGGTCTGTGAATAGCAAATATGCATAAACTACTGTGACTCTGACAAATATAACTCAGTAACTGTTTCTACTGTGGTATGTAAAAAAAAAAAAATCTTGTAGCTTTTAGCCTGCTGTATTTCCCTGGTGCAAAGAACACCAGGAAAGAGAGAGATCTTGGAAAAAATGAAGTCACAGCTGTGACCTGTGCGGGGTCATTCATGCAATGGCACCTTCTGGGTCGCTGTGGTACAAGTGCTAAAAATGCCATTTTTAGAGGCTGGGAGGTGGGAAGTGAAGGTGCTGCTGCTGCCTTCTGCTCTGGCATTGCTGCTGGAAGCAGAGCTGGCCTTTGGTTCGGGGGATGATGAGTGAAAAGCTGCTCCATGTGCAGGGTGGGTGTCAGACCCTGCATGGGGGGAGCACAGCACCAGTGTTGGGACGCTGGGCGACTGAAAACTGCAGCCAATTTGTGTCTTGCCATTCAAATAAAGCAGTGAATATACACTGTAAAAGCACAGACAAGAACAAATAAGTTGGTATCCTTCAACTGTCACATACACACGCAGGAATACATGCAGAGATCCACCCAAGCTTTCTTGACATTGGGGATTTAGCATCAGGCCTTGTGACCACTTCCCTCCCTCCCCGCTGGGCATTCTCCTGTAAAAGTGGTGGGTATTTTTCCTCATTTATCTCTGGGTTGGTCTGAAAATAGCAGTTCAGTGGTCGCAGGGGAAAGTTCTTCTCCGTCCTTGTTTTGCGCAGAGATTTTGTAATGCTGTTATTTGAAAGTCCTGGCCCCAGCAGCTGGAGAAGCCATTGCTGCATTAGGGGTTACCTGCCAGAGAGTTTCCAAAAATACTTTATCCTTTGTCATTTTAAAGATGTCTTGGCAAGGGATGGCTTCATCCCAGCCAGTGGCTGAGTCACAAGTGGAGAAGGTGCAGAGCATGACAAGAGGAGAAGAATACAGGGGAAAAGGCAGGATATCTTTTTGGGACACAGAGAGGTAGCCAGCTGTGGCCTTTTCCATAGCTGGTCCCCAGTCCTCCATCCCAGGCAGGTCCCTGGGGAATGGTGTCCAGCAGTGAAGGCTTCACCTTCCTGCAGTAGCTGCTGCAAAGACGAAAGGGGAAAAGGAGGTGGGAAGGAGCTGTTCTGCCCCAGCATGGCTGTTCTTGGAACAGCAGACTCACAATTTGGGGTTATTGCTGTATCTTGGCCCATCCTTGGAAGTGTTCAAGGCCAGGTTGGATGGGGATTGGAGCAGCCTGGTCTAGTGGAAGGTGTTCCTGCCCTCCCCTAGCAGGGGGTAGAACGAGATGGGCTTTAAGGTCCCTTCCCACCCAGGCCATTCTGTGATTCCATTATCTTCCTCCCTTCCGCACAGCTCTCTGGGAGCAATCAGGGCTCTGTCCTGCTGCCATTGCCATGCAGGTGGCCCAGCTCCCAACGCTCCCAGTCATACCTGCATGGATGGAATTGGGAAGCATCGCTGCAGGCAAGCTGGGGCTGAAAAAGCCAGAAAACCAGATGATGGCTCACTTGTGGGGCTGAGGATCCAGGGGTGATTGGTTTTATTATTATTTTTAATATGTGGTACTTGGCTGCGGTTCAGAGGAAGCCCTTTCCAACGGCCCCTTCTGGGAGAAGGTGAAAGATCCATCTTTGCAGCATTTCCCCCATATGGTGCTTCCCTGTAGCAGGGATTTGGATGTTGCAGTGTCTGCACAAGCATATGGAAGGCAAAGTGTATTGGAAGCTGTGTCTCCTCAGATGGTGAGGCGGCTGCTCGCCGGGCATACCTGCGGCACCAGCCCAGTGCTGGCAGCACCATGAACCAGGTGATCCTGGCACAATCCCTATCCTGGCAGAGAACTCTGTAGGAGGCACCTACCTTCTGCCTCTGGGCCACACCTGCAGCAAGGCCAGTGTCCCTAAGCCCCCTTACATCTCTTGGATGAGCTTCTCCCAGATTAACCACCCCTTGCCAGGAGCCAAGGAGCTGGGGGAGAGGGCAGGGTGAACCGAAGAGACAGTTCTGCTGCTGTTCCTGAGCAAATCCAGGGGTCTGCAGCCCTGTTACCCCTGGCTGAGGTTGTCTTTCACGCTCCATCTCTCCACACAGGAGAGAACACACGGGGAGCAGCTGAGACCCCCAGTATGGGTGGCAGGTCTTCTCCCCAGCAGGACACCCCTCAGTTCTGAGAAGCAGCTCAGCTCTGCTGCTTCCCACACTCATTCTAAGACAGGAAGCTGAATTTTGCTATTCTGAGCACTTTTGAGCACTGTCTTGTCTTCTTTTCATGTCAGGGCAGATGTGAAAGAGTAGTGGGTGTTCGGGTTAGAACACCTGCACAATAATTACTGAGGATTTAATTACCTCCCCTACGCAACACTGGATGATGTGCATGGAAAATAGGAGAGATTCCCTTTGATACCAGGTGATACCAGAAAATGATTTTAATCTGCCTTACAACTATATAATTAAAGAAGCTTATATATAGAAATATATATATATATACACACACGTACACATACGTACATTTCTTTTTCTTGCTGCTGGAGTTACAGTCGTTCTGGCCTGGGAGCAGAGTGGGCAGCACTAGGTTAGGGCTGACATTGCTCCATGCCAAGTGCTGCCGTAAGCCACAAGGGTGAGTGGGGATGGGAAGAGCAAACTCATTGCTTTCCACAGCCCTTTCAGAGGAGAGACCAACTCTCCCCAGGGATAACCCTCAACCCCCCAAAATGACAAGCTGTCCCTGCCTGGTGTCTGTGGAGGAGGTGTGGGGGTGGGAAGGCTATGGTCAGTCTCTGGAGGAGGTGTGGGGTGGGGAAGGCTGTGGGCAGTCCCTCTGTCACCCCTTCTGCTCCCTGACCTGGGTGATTCCCACCTGGCACGATGCTTGGGCAGGTGAGGTGTGACCCTGCAGGTCATTCTGGGCTTGACAGGAATGGGACTAAATTATTATTATGCCCCAAAACCAGAGCAAACAAGGAGCTCAGCAGCTTGTTCAGAGGTACCCAGGAGAGAAGATCCCTCCACTGTCAGGCAGGATGTGGGTGGGACAGCAGTGCCTGGGACGCAAAACCCTGCATCCTCCAGCCTCTCCCCTCTGTCCTGAGGCAGGGCAACGAGGAAACCTGCTGCAGGGAACTGGGACAACGAGATGGTGTCAGGTGAGGGCAGAGAGCACCGGATACTCACTTCTCGCTCGACTGTTCTCTCCCGTTGCTGCTGCCGAGAGCCAGGAACTGGTGCTGCCTCCGCCCCCGCGCTACTGCTGCCGAGGTGTCTGTGGGGAGAGCTCTGTAAATACAGCAGGTTAAAAACTGGCACAGTATCAGCAGGTCTGTATTTAATGCAGATGTTTCCCATGTTTTGTAGTATTGTTTTATTGATAAATAAAAATCAACCAAAGACAAAAAAGGCACTTGGCATCATCTGTGTGACCCAGGCCGAGCCCCTCGTGGGCACTTGAGTATAGAGATGGTACCTGTGACAGGAGAAGCTGCAGAGCCCTTGGCCTCTCCTCCCCAGCACGTCAATCCCTGGGGTGCTCTCCAAACAGAGACCATCACCCATTTAAATGGAGTGGATGAGCAAATGTCCCCTGAGGTCTGTAGGAAGAGGAGCCGTGTGCTCGTCGCCGTCTCTGGGTGAGCCCTGAGCTGTACCAGGCTCTTGGTGCGATACTGAGTCATGAAACAGGGCTGTGATGACACAAATATCACAAATGGCTCAAAAATTATCCCAAAACGCTCAGGATTTTTAAAGCACAGCAAGAAAAACAAAACTTGCAGCAATTACACTGCATGTTAATGAGCTGCCTCCCAAAGAAAAGCTTGAGAAAAATAGGTTCATCAGAGACTCGTTAAAAAATCACTAGAACCATTAATACTATAAACATCCTCTCCACGGCATAAATTTTGTGTCTTTCCAGATGTATTTTTATTATAATGCCCATTTAATGGGAGGAGAAAACGAGGCACAGCTCTTAGGGTTATTTTGCCCCAGGGATCCCAGCAAAATTGGCCAGGAGATACTAAAAGCACCTCCTCTTACCAAATTTCCAGTCAGGTGTGCCTGTGCCACATTGGGCTGCCACATCTAAACCCTTTAGCACTTTTTATTTAGCCTTTACTGAGGCAAAACATTCCTGATTTCGAGACTTAGTTCTGACTGAACTGGGAAGTCAATATCTGTGAGCGGCCATTTACCCATGAAATAGAGCTGGGAGAGCA